CACCCAGATGCAAAGTCCCCGCCAGGGTGGGGCTAGTCCCGCCCCCACGCCTCCTCTTCTCTTCTCCAGCCTCCTCACTCGGTTCTGGCCCCTCTGGCCTCCTGGCTGACCACAGCACTTGGGGAAGTCACCATCCAGGCCATTGGCCTAGGCGGGTTCCCTGGCTCACACGTATCCCCCATGTCACCCCCAGGCCCATGCGCTCATCTCTTCAGCCCTTCGCTCCAAAGGCACTCCATGTGGTCGCCTGATACCCAGAAGCACCAGGGCACCACCACTTCTTACATCTTCCCCCTGCACCATCATTTTCTCCTTGGCATCGGTCACCAACCTGGCACATGAGACACGCTACAGGCCTGCTCGCTGTCGGAGTCCCTCCTTGGAGACACCCATGGCCACCTGTGGTTTGTGATTGTGCCCTTGGTGCCTGGATCTTCGCTGGACAACACCTCCCTACCTGTTTACCAAACACCTGGTGACCATTACTGAGCTTGTTATCAAAGAGCCCACAGAAGGACCCCGGTCAAGAATGGAAACCAGCGAAAGAGAATTCCAAGCTTTCATACTCTAGACTTTTCTGGAGCCATGGAGGGACTGGATGGACCCTGGAAACGATTATACAAGAGCATCTTGAAGCCTTGAATCAAAAACATCCCTTGAGAAGCAAACACTAGATTCGCTTCTCCTACGACACCAGTCTGCCTTTACACTGTGCGTTTTTAAGAAAGATCTCTACGGCCGGCAAAGATGAGATGGGAGCCTGAGAGGGCCGTGAGCTGGTGTTGAACAAGTCAGGAGAGGAAGGTGAGAATGGTGGTCGCACTGTCACCAGGTGAGCACGAGGGGACTGGTGAATGTCTACCGCTATCTCCCAGGTGGTGCCGAGAGGCCCGCAGCTATGGAGGACAGAGCACGACAAGAGGCCGGAGGGATAGAGACAGAGTTAGGATGACCGGAAACACACGAGCCCAGAACCTGGGGTCTGAAATGGCTAAGATGGGGTAATGGTCGGGCTGTTTGGCCATGAAACCCTGGTCACCCATCCGTTCATCAATTATCCCACCTACCATACTGTCCACATATTCATCTACCGTTCCATCCCTCCACCATCTAGTCATACATTCATCTACCAGGCCATCCAGCCACCATTCCATGCATACATTCATCGACCATTACACCTACGGCCCAGGTATCCGAACTATTCCATCTGTGTGCTGAGCCAACCATCAGCTGTCGGTGCTGTCAGGTGCTGTCGAGCCAGTTCTGACCCGTACCGACCCCGTGAACGACAGAAGGGACCACTGCGTGGCCCTGCACTGTCCTCACCGTTGTTCCTGCATCCACAAGCCCTTTGTGGTGGCAGCCCCCGTGTCAATCCATCTCCTTCCCCTTTCCGGCTGCCCCTCCACCTTGCCAAACATGGCGCCCTTCTCCAGGGGACCGTCTCTCCTGACCACGTGTTCAAAGTATGTGCGGTGAAGTCTCCCACATTCTGGATGTCCTTCTTCCAGGACGGATGGGTTTGTCCTTTTAGCAGTCCCCGGTGCTTTCAAGCTTCTTCTCCAGAACCATGGTTCTTCTTCCGGTTTCCTTAATCAGTGTCTAACCTTCCACACGCACACGAGGCAACGGAAAACACCCTGGCTTGGGTCAGGCTCACCTTAGTCCTCCAAGTCACATCCTTGCTTTTCAGTGCTCTGAGGAGGTCTTGTGCAGCCGATTTACCTAATGCAACTTGTCTATTGATCTCCTGACTGCTGCTTCCACAAGCACTGACTGTAGATCCAACAAGACAGATTCCGTGACAACTTCAATGTTTTCTCCATTGATCATGAGATTTCCTATTGGTCCAGTGGTGAGGATTTGGGTCTTCTTCACATTGAGTTGTCATCCAGACTGAGGGCGGCAGTCCTTGATCTTCATCAGCATGTGCTTCACGTCTTCACTTCCAGCAAGCAAGGCTGTGACGTCTGCCTATCATAGGTTGTTCATAAGCCTTCCTCCAATCCTGATGCCACACTCTTCTTCATGTCATACTGCTTCTCTGATGATGTGCTCAGCATACAGATGGAATTCGTA